CATTTTTATCATCTGCAGTTTTGTTGGTGGTGAACTTTGGACCATTGTCCAGGTCATCAATAAAGATGTTAAAACAGTACTGGTTCCACTACTGACCTCTGTGGTACACCACTAGTGACTGACTGTCCTGAGTTTGGTTAGGACAGAGTTAATTGTTCACAGGGAACTGGGAGGGGGGCACCTGGGCCAGGGCAGGTATTCTATACCATGTGACATTATGCTCAGTATTTAAACAGGGAAATTCCAGGAAGAGGGGGCTGCTGGGTACAATAGTTCATGTACTGGTCGGGTGGTGAGCTGTTTGGTTCCATGTATCACTTGTTACGCTGTGTATTCTTTCACTAACACTGTTGCTGTTGTTGTTGTTTGGTGTTGTTTCTCCCTTACTATTCCAGTAAACTGCTGGAGTCTCAGCCCCTGAGCCCTGTTCATTTATATTTTCTCCTCCCCGTACCACTGGAGGGTGGGGGGTGGGGCAGGCAGGGACCCTTCCTGGTTAAAATACGTCACTGACCTCCAGCTTGAGCCCAGCAGTTCAGTCAGTTCTCAGACCACCTCACTGCCCATTTACCAAGTCCATACCTCATCAGTTTGTTGAGGATATTACAGAAGACAGCGTCAAAAGTCTTATCAAAGTCAATCCACTGCTCTCTGTGCTTCCGCTGAGCTAGTCATCTCAGCCCAGAAGGCTACCAGTTTGGTCAGGCCTGATTTCCCCATTGTAAATCCATGCTGGCTACTCTCAGTCCCTTTCCTGTCCACAGTGTTTTTGGAAATAGCTTCCAGGATTATGTGCTCCATCATCTTCCCAGTTACTGCAGTGCAATAAAGCATTCTACAAACTGTACTTTAAACAGTATTAACTTTCTTAAAATTCAATAAATTCAAACAGACTGTAAATAGAGACTTCACAAGATATGTGGGGATTTTCAAAGAAATCCCTGTTCAAGCTACTTCAGCTAGCAAGCATCAGGAGAAATTAACAAAAACTTTAGATAAGATGTGCATTTCCCACAACAGATCAGCCTGACATGTGGAAGAGTCCATGGCACACAAATATACATGAATTTGAAAAACTTATCCCTTTTTACCAGACTTTCCCTCACCACTGAGCACAGAAAGTAGCAAAATTTCTTTGGGGAAAGAAGAATCAGAAGTTTCTGGAATGGGATGTAGAAACTAACATGGCATTCTGAGCTACCAAGCAATATTGAAAAGGGTGAGGAAACAGATTTCTAGGGTCATTCTTCTGAGGAAGAAGAACGGCCCTAGATATTACTACTATTGTGACACTTCTCTTACTATCAAGATCTATCTGTTAATAAAGTCATTATTCCTCACCCTTCTAAAAACAAGGCTAAGGAAATTTGCACTTTAGACTTTGGACTGTACCCACAATTCACTTTTTTTTAGCACACACATCCCAAGACTAATTATAACTAACACCAGGGATTTTCTTTCACTGCCTTAGGATGCTTTGTTTTAGGCAGGTGGTCGATAAAATCCAATCCAATTTTCTCATACAGGAAAGACATTTTGGGGAACAGACCGCACACAGTAATGGTTATGAATATCTGCTACAATCTGGAATGGAAGTTTCTATGGGAGTCTGAAGTAATTTTGATGCTTAGAGAAACGCAAGCAAAATATTTTTGGTGAGAATATGAAAAGTTCTACCAAACAGAAAAGCTGACAGGTAGTGATATTAAAGTTTGATCTATACGCACAAAGATAAGGATCACTAGATCTGGAGGTTGCTAAGAAACAAATTAAATTGGAGGATAGTTGGGAAATCTTGCTCTGGAAGCGGTGAAGTGTTTTCATCCTTTCTAACTTCACAACATCCTTGCAGTCACTGACTTGCCTAGCAAAGTCTTCCCTTTAAGACCTGACTCAGGCCATGCTTTTCCAGCTGCCTATCCTGGCAAAAGTCTCCTGCACTGCACCTCAGTGATACACATGTATGACCTAAATTTCCTTGCAGTGTTAAACTATTACCATCCTCTTAGAACAGGAGAGTCTGGTTCCCTTTTTTTCAGCTCCTTAGCCAGTGTCCTAGGTAGTACTGGGTATTAGCTGTCTTACTTTGTACCTGCTTAATGCTGAGGTTGAAAGAAACTGGCTTTGAGTAAGCTCTCCAGGACACATTACTCAGTGCACCCAAGGGGTCTACCAGGGTCTGATGAACCTTTCCAGCTCAACATAGCTTCAAGCAGAATCACTCCAGGTGCACAGCACTCACCAGCACTCTTGCCAATGGAAATGCCATATCAGAAAAGCTTAGATCTTCTCAGATCTTTCAGATTTCCTAGCTGAGCTTCTGCAACAAATTACTCTGAACCTGAGCAAGCCCCAGAGGCGGTACTGCTACTTTATATGCCACTGGCTCTAAGCTAATGAATTGTGCTGGACCTAGAAAAGCTTTGTACTTAGACAGCTCAGGTGTTGCTGCAACCAGAGCCGTTATTTGTAACACAATAATCAAGCTAGTAACAGTCTGGTGTAAAAGTTCATTTCTTTCATTGTACTAATTTCCTTATCTCAATAAAAAGATGCATAAATCACCCAATGTTACTTACTCTACTAATATTATTCTCAACTAATAACTCAATTAATGCTTCATTAATATTTATGCCACTTTTCATTACGGAACTCCTAATATCCAAATTACAGCAATAAATGTACAAAACCATCTTAATTTTGAGGGAGGATTTGTCTTTGTTTACCTATAAACAACAAGCTGAAGGAGACATACAAGATAAAAAGGAAGAGAGACCTGGGTAAAATGTTTGAAACAATTACCGCCAAAGAAATTCCAACAAAGAAATTCTACAATTCTAAATACTAATGAGCAGTAAATGAATTAGCGTTAAATGATATAGTTGCTATTAATTACTTCATCTGCTTTTGCTGATTACTTTGCTGTTCTTGTCAGCTTGGAAAGCCTTCACTGAAATAATAAAATACTTCAAGTTAAATTATTTTATTATATGGTAGACAACAAAGTATCCTTGTACTTATAGGGGTGTGTGGGTGCGTGTCCACTGCTTTTGACGTGCCAATTACATTCTGAGTTATTTAAGATGTTCTGGAACAGTAATTAGCATTTAACAACCACAGAAAAGTATGTCTGCAAGATTTTTTTAAGCTGCACAAGAATTTAAAATCGATCTATACACTGAACCTTCTAAGAAAAAAAGGCTATAAAATCCTAGTCCACTTTTAGCATCAAGGTGATACAGTGAGGAAGAAAACACCCTAAAAGAAAAGAACAAAATGCAAAAACATACTGTGGAAATAAGAGCAGTGCTATACAAGCAAACACTAAATGACGTCACAGGTAAGTTCTTAATACTTTTAAGGAAATTAACACAATCATGCCTTAGGAAGTGGTCAACTAAAAAAGTGGTTGTCTTCCCTTAGTTTATGGGAGCTGCTACATTTCCGCAGTATCTTAAGCAGTGGAAAGAAGTGACTTCCAGCAGAAGTCCTCCTCTGTTACTACAGGAATTGAGTAGAGCAGTATCTTCATTAACAATCAGAAACTGATTTCTCCATCAGGCCAGCTCAAGTTAGAAGGACTATTGAAAGACGCTTGACTTGCACTTGGCTTTGTCACAAGAAGCACACTGGGAAGTTCCCAAAAGACTAAAACCAAACGTGCTGCCTCAGATCAGTTTCTTCAATGAGACAAATATTTGACTATTTCAAAACAGTGAGTTTATCTAGACAAACTTCATTGAGACTACAATAGCTGTGTTGGGTGCAGCCTTACCTGGTAGCTCTAGCACTAACATGACATTTACTACTGGAAATTCTCATAAAGTTTGTGTTAAGTAAAATAATCTTTGTTAGCAAAGATTATTATTTGTATCGGTATAAAACTGAGCCTACACTAGAATGTAACACTGGTACAGCTGTTTTTTTAAAAAATAAACCTCACTCAAGCACTTCCTTTCCTATTGGGGTCAAGCTACTATAATTTTAAAGCTGTCTTATGCTGCAATAGGAGTTCTTCAGGTCAGTTTCCTTAGAAACAGTTTCCTCACTAAGAAAGTAAGGAAATTGTGACAAACACCATCATAAATGCACCTCCTTTGTCTCTAAACTGACTTAAAATATAGCAGATCAGTTCTGCTTCTGAAGTTCTCTGATCTTGACTCTGAGATACAATATACATACTTGTAATTTTTTTTATTTCAAGTCAAACCTAGAGACTACATAATTGAATACAGAAAGCACTTTTATAATTTAAAATGTGCACAGCAATCTAAAAGCAGTACTATAAAAACTCATTTAAAAAGTCTGATTTTTAGATACCCTTCTAACTGACAGGAAAGATTTCATTTAGGATCTAAACTTAAAAAAATGCCAACTAATTTACAAATTATCTGGAAATTTTTCACCAAGAAAGGTCTCAATAGTTTAATCTCTACAATTACCAGCTGCACAATTTTTTGGAGGGCTATGTTACTAGTATCCTTACCAGTGGTGGCCCTCCCAAGAATATTGTTCCCTGTTTGCCAACAATAATACTTTCATCAGCCATCGCAGGTACATATGCTCCTCCTGCTGTACAGGATCCCATTACTACTGCTATCTATTGGGAAAACACAAAACAAAAGTTAATGAATTGCCCAACCCTTAAACATAGCAAATGCACACATTACTATTATATATTGTACTGATTTTAATACAGGTTCTGGGACAGCACTGAAAGATTATTTTTGTCTGACAGAGCAAACTTTTTGTTTATGTTTTAGCTTTTATTCAAAAAAATAGAGAATCTCTCTAGTTTTCATCAGTCTCTTAAACCATGGTCTCCAGGCTACCCTGCAGGAAAATTCATATAAGAAGAACCATAAGCTACGTATGTTGAACATTTGAAGAGGCACACGTTCTACCAGGAAATTTGTTTTTACCAGTGAATGCTAAAAGGTTGAAACCTAGAGGTTGCTTCCACTATTTATGCTTAAATTAGAGCTCCAGCTGTTGCTTATTCACATAATTTCACCAGTGCTAACATCCTTTGAAGAAAATTCCTAACATTGACTAGTACATAACTTCAGTTCTTCAATGGAACAACTAATTAACTCTGTCCCTTCAGGTTGTGTTGAGTATCCCATTATATGCTTTACCATGAGAAATCTCTTTTATCCTTATGCCAAATTTTGTGATGAACGTCTACCCGTTGTACATTTTTCACCAGTAATATTTTGTTGACACTTTTACAAAACTGACTTGACCCCAGCCGTGATGAATACAGTAGCAGCATAAGATGTTGAAAGTAAAAGTTTCTGACTTAACTTCTCCTTCATGGGAGCTGCTCCAAAGACACTTTCAAAACAACTCACAAAGCAGACAAAATGGAATACTCATATGGAAAAGGCAGACAATAAAAAAGAGTTTGTCTAATCTAACAGTTCCTTTCACAACCACAAAAAAAACCCCCAAAACCCCAAAACAAACCACAATATAATGTTATTTTCTATTAACTTTGTTTGGAAATATTTCTAAATCAACATCAAGTAGTGTTCTGTGTTGAATGATAATTCAATGTTTTGCTCTTAAAAAAAAAAAGAGCATACAGGAATAAAACTTCCAAATCACATTATCTGCAGCTAAAGCAGGAGCAGACGAACTATGTCAACCTGCCATCATCAAATTAAACAGCTTTTTCAGCAAATGGTTTTCAGTATCTTAAACTATATTCAGACTCACATGATTTATCTGAATTATTTCTGTTGTGTGTTTAATAAATACGTCCAGGTAAATACAAAGATAACATAAGCCTGCAGAAATGGAAGAAACTTGTGGAAAAAGTTAATTTGTTTCTTTTTCCCCAGGATTTGTGGCTTTTTCCTACCCTTATTTTTACCATACTCATGCTGAAAAATATGCCTGCATTTGAACTTTAACTCAGGTGTTATTTTTTCCAATACATAAACTGGAATATGTATATATTGCAAAAAACAAAATCTACTTGTCAAACAGCACAACCTCAAACTCCCAACTGATGTGCCACTTCCTGACTTCATTCTTTCAATTACTGCATAGGAAATTACTTAAGAATGCAATAAAAATCAACAGTTCTGAACGCATGTACAGTATTTCATACCCACTGAGCAGCTCCCCATTGTATCCATGCAGCATGTAAGTGTGAGCGAGCTTACAAGTGCCTAATGAGAAGTTAATCACAGCTTTCTGATTCACAGCCATACAGACATCAAAGCAATTTAAAGCTGCAGAAGCTGCAGTAGGAGTATAATAAATTAGTCATAGGTAAAAGTGGAGGGGGAAATTAAAAGCACCATAGGCAACTGTGAAAAAAAACAAAACCACCAAACAAAACACAACAAAAAAACAGGAAAAAAAAAAGGCAAGCACTTAAGGGCAAAATTGAGAAAGGCTGGTAAACTAGTAAAACAAGACCTTCAGATAGGCCACAACAAAGAACAGCAGGTAGAAAACAAACAACATTGAGACTCCCATATCAGAAGAATTAACCAGAATGGAAATCAGAGGGAGAATGATTTCCTAACACCACTTCCTAATGAAACATCCTCCCAGAAAAGATTATTCTAGCTACCAACAGTCCTAGCACAGAAGCAATAGTGATTTACAAGTGTTAATAGCACCTTTTTGAAATGAAACAAAGGACAGAAACATCTCCCAGACAAAATGCACCTGTATTACATCCTTTAAATGAAGAAATCACTTCAGTAAATAATTTTTCCCAGTCTTTGTAGGAGACAAACTGGAAGGATAAACAACCTGAAAAAAAACAGTTCTGGCACCACGGATATCTGGTAATCCCCTGGAACAAAGGACTGCTCACTCAAGGATGCAGACAATGGCAGGAGACAAA